TCCATACAGATGTGGCTGCCTGATCTTGGATGTGCAAACCCTCAGAACTGTGAGCTCAATGAATCTTTATTCCTTATAGATTAATATGTGGTAATCAGTTACAGCAAGCAAAACAGAGGGGGAGTGGACTTAGTTTAAGTTTGGTTCTTACATTTGTAGAGGCTGGGAAGTCCAAATTCTTCAGGGTAAGCCTGGAACCTGCTAGCAGAATTCGGCATTGGGGTGGGGATGGTCACAAAGCTGGGGACAGTACTGAAGCCTGCCTGGGGAACAGGGGCCATGGGGAGAGGTGGGCAGCTCCAAACTCAGGCAAGACACTGCAGACTGAGCTGAAGCACCTGAAAGCAGTTCTGGTGGACATCACACATGCAGAGTGGGACAGCCAGCAAGATCCAGCCTATGTTTTTATTTTTTATTTTTGACAGGCAGAGTGGACAGTGAGTGAGAGAGACAGAGAGAAAGGTCTTCCTTCGCCGTTGGTTCACCCTCCAATGGCCGCCACGCCAGCATGCTGCGGCCGGTGCACCGCGCTGATCCGATGGCAGGAGCCAGGTGCTTCTCCTGGTCTCCCATGGGGTACAGGGCCCAAGGACTTGGGCCATCCTCCACTGCACTCCCTGTCCACAGCAGAGAGCTGGCCTGGAAGAGGGGCAACCGGGACAGAATCTGGCGCCCCAACCGGGACTAGAACCCAGTGTGCCGGCGCCGCAAGGGGGAGGATTAGCCTAGTGAGCCGCGGCGCCGGCCCAGCCTATGTTTTTAAAAGACTCCTCTGGCTACAGGGCGGTGAATCAACCATAGGATCAGAGGTAGTAAGATGCATGGTGACTCTGACAGGCTGTGAGTGAAGAGATGACCAGAGTCAATCTCTAGGTGTCTGGAATGCCAGACAAGATAAGTAGATACGAGTTTTCCTGGAAGAAATCTCAGTTATGATGGAAAATGCTGGAATTTGAAAATCATTCCAAGAAGCAGATAGAAACTCTGGAGGCACTGGAGATTTCAAAATTTTTAAAAATATCTCTCATTCCCCTAAATACTTCATTTGCAGTGGGCATTTCTGCTCTTTCCATCAAAAAGTGAAATCTGGTTTTTCCTCACCAGTCAGTTCTGGGATCCGCTATATGATTTCTTTGGCCAGTGGGACATCAGCAAATGTGAAGCAAGCAGAATCTTGAAGAGTGCTTGTTCACTGGTGCTTGGCTATTCCTGCTGCTCTTGGGGTCTTCTGACCACTATTTTGTGCATAAATCCAGCCCAGTTTGCTGGATACACATGGCCCAGTGGACAGCACCAACTGCTGGTCGTACAGCGATGTCATCCTAGACCATGTATTCATTTCCAGTGGCTGCTGTAGCAAATTACTGCACACTGTGTGGCTTAAAACAACAGAAATTATTCTTTTATGGGTCTAGAGCTCAGAACTGTCGCTCCCCGTCTTCGTGGAGGAACGACACAGGACCCTGCGCTGTTCTTTTGTCTGCTCGGCCCTCCCCGGGTTTGCTGCTGGTCCTTCCCAGGTTGGCTACCGACCCTTCCACCTCCGTGGAAGGGCGGTTCCCCCTGCCACTTTCCCCACTTCCACGGGGGAGCGGCATACCGCCGGCCGGCTCTCTCGGGGGCTGCACAGGTGTTCCTTCAGATAGATGTTCCTGGTGCATGTTGTCTCTCTCCTCCTTTATAGTCCTCTCCACCAATCCGTGCTCTGCTACCCACACGCCGAGTACGCTGCTCTCCTCCAATCAGGAGCAGGATCAGCTCCTGCAGGTTACAGGTCGAACTGGAGGCAGCTGTGTAAAAGCTGTTTACTCCTCTCCCAGCGCCATATTGTGGGAGAGCAGATGCATAGAATAAGTCTTAACTCCAGTAACTTAGTCTAGTCCGAGTTGCTCCCCACAAGAACTCATTGAAAGCAATGCTCTAGGAGTTGTGCTCCTTCCCAAGGCTCTAGGCGAGGATTTGCTTCCTTGCCCTTTCCAGATTCCAGAGTTGGCTTCCTCAGCTCTTAGCTCGCTGCTCCATCTTCATGGATGGTGCAGTGTCTTCCAGCCTTTTTCTGCCCTCGCTCCACAGTGCATTCTCCTCTGTTCTGTCTGAAGACTCCCTCTGCCTCCTGCTTGTAAGGACACTTGTGATTGTGCTTAGGGCCCACTCAGATAATTTAGGATAATCCCCCTGAAGGTGTTTAACTGAGGTGACGTAGGGTTTCAGGCACTGGGGCTGATCACTTTTCAGCCTCAGTTTGCCAGCCCCACAGCTGAGCGCCAGCCAACTGTGAACACGGAAGTGACAGGAGCAACTGAGGAATCTCAGGTAGCCCAGTCAGAATTTCTGGACAGAGTCCTGGGAGGGTAATCATTGCTTTAAACCATTCTGTCTGGAGAAGTTTGTTGTGCAGCAAAAGCTAACTGACACAATGACTTTGCTTGAAGCCACTTTTTGCCCACCCTGCCACTTCAATTTGCTTTATTTTTACAACACGTTTTGTCAGAATACTAGTTCAGTAATTTCCTTAGTAATCAGAACAGCCCTTTCCATCTTCTGTTTTTGTTTCTCATCACTAAACTCATAAACCAAACGTTATTTATTTATTTATTTTTGACAGGCAGAGTGGACAGTGAGAGAGAGAGACAGGGAGAAAGGTCTTCCTTTTCCGTTGGTTCACCCTCCAATGGCCGCTACGGCCTGTGCACTGCGGCCGGCGCACAATGCTGATCCAAAGCCAGGAGCCAGGTGCTTCTCCTGGTCTCCCATGGGGTGCAGGGCCCAAACACTTGGGCCATCCTCCACTGCCCTCCCTGGCCACAGCAGAGAGCTGGCCTGGAAGAGGGGCAACCGGGACAGAATCTGGCGCCCCAACCGGGACTAGAACCCGGTGTGCCGGCGCTGCAGGCGGAGGATTAGCCTATTGAGCCACGTCGCGGCCTTATAAACAAAACTTTAAAAAGTAAAACTGGGGCCATCGCTGTGGCATAGCGGGTAAAGCTGCCGCCTGCAATGCCGGTATCCCATATGGGCGCCAGTTTGAGTCCTGGGTGCTCTACTTCTGATCCAGCTCTCTGTTATGGCCTGGAAAAGCAATGGAAGATGGCCCAAATGCTTGGGCTCCTGTACCCACATGGAGACCTGGAAGAAGCTCCAGGCTTTTGGCTTCAGATCAGCCCAGTTCCAGCTGTTGTGGCCATTTGGGGAGTGAACCAGCAGTTGGAAGACCTCTCTCTCTCTCTCTGCCTCTGCCTCTCTGTAACTCTGCCTTTCAAATAAATAAATAAATCTTTTTTAAAAAGTAAAATTAATTTCATAGGCAAGATAAGAAAGTAGCAAACACTTTTCTGAAACAATCAACTACTTATATATTTATGTGTATATGTCTATATTTTCCTCTAGCCAAATATCAAACAAACATAATTGTTTGAAAAACAAAATTGTACGTGACAGATGGTGGCAACCTGGTTATAAAAGAGATGATTTCCTAGATGTCATCATACTAGTGCCAAAAGGCTTTGTTGCTGTGCACAAGCTCATTGAACTCTCTCCAGAACCACGTGCTGGATATGTTTTCAAGCCTGTGTGTGTGTGTGTGTGTAGAATATGTGATTGTGGTGTGATGTATCTTGTCGCTCCCCCTCTTCGTGGAGGAACGACACAGGACCCTGCGCTGTTCTTTCGTCTGCTCGGCCCTCCCCGGGTTTGCTGCTGGTTCTTCCCGGGTTGGCTACTATCCCTTCCACCTCCGTGGAAGGGCAGTTCCCCCTGGCCGCATTCCCCACTTCCGCAGGGGAGCGGCACACCGCCGGCTGGTTCTCTCGGGGGCTGCACGGGTTCCCTTAGATGTTCCCCATAGATGTTCCTCATAGATGTTCCTGGTGCATGTCGTCTCTCTCCTCCTTTATAGTCCTCCTCCGCCAATCCTAACTCGGCTGCCCACACGCCGAGTACGCTGCTCTCCAATCAGGAGCAAGTCCTACAGTTAATTGGTTGAACTGGAGGCAGCTGTGCGGAAGCTGTTTACTTCTCTCCCAGCGCCATATTGTGGGAGAGCAGATGCATAGAATAAGTCCTAATTCGAGTAACTTAGTCTAGTCCGGATTGCTCCCCACAGTATCTGTACGTGGTGTGATGTATGCTGTAGGAATATGGGGTGATGTGAGTGTGTGTATGTGCGGTATGTGCCTATGGCATGTGTGTACACATGTGTGGTTTAGTGTGGGTATGTGTATGCATGTGGTGTGTGTGTGTGGTGTGGTGTGAGTAGTGTGGAGTATAAGGTATGTATCTGCTCCTACTACTGAGTCCCCTGTCACGGGCTCCAACTTCCATCCCACACTTGACTGGCTCCAGTCAACATGGGCTATCCCACCTTTTGTTCTGGCCCAGATCCCGCTTGGGCTGGGGTTTCTGCCCTCAATCAAAGTCCAATTTGCTTCTGGTGTTTTAGGGATTCTGTTTTCTAGAGGAGTTCTGGGCCTATTATTGCAAGCATCTCCTTTGTTATTTGCAGGGGCTTCGGCAGGAGGAGCCTCAGGTGCAAGAGAGTATATAACTGTGCTACTTTTTGTGGAAGTAAGAAAAGAAAATATAGTAGCATTACTATGCAGTTGTTTGTTTTTTTAAAAGAAAAATCTACACCTATATAAACCTGAAACTAATGAAAATGGTGATTTTCAGGAGGTGGTAGAGACAGGGTGACTCTGTAGCCAGGCAAACCTGGCGCCTACAGAGTGGTTCAAATACAGTGGCCCCCACTGCACTCAATGGACTTTTGGTTGACAGCAAAAAATACCTGTGACTCAAATTAATAAATTTGAATCTTTAAAGACATTATTCTAAGTAGATATGCAGATCTGTAAGAAAAACTGGAAGAACCTCTTTAACTTTTGAATGGCATGCTTTGTAAACATTTTAGATAGCCCACCACAGTTTTCTTCTCAACAGCTTCTCCACATCACCTGCTGAGTAACAAGAGTGTCATTTTATGTACAAGCAGAGGGAGTAAGTCTCACAGAATACACACAACAGAGCCATAAAAACGGACAAGGTTATTGGACCTCTTTCAGATTCCATTTTCATCACCAGAATTCCCTTGAATGGAGCAACAAAATTTGAGTCATGGAGCTTAGCGGGGAGCAGCAGGGGTGTTCAGCAATTCTCATCGAGTGAAACCTCCTTTGCCAAAAGCACACAAGTACAGGCTGCTGGGCCCAGAAGGTTGTCCTAGTGTGAGGCAGAGGCTGTTGGAGAATTCAGCATCTAGAAAGGAGAACATTCGTGTATTGGTGGAGAACTACTTTATGATTTTTACCTTAAATAAAAAATTTCCGATTATGCAATCAGCAGCTTCTCTAGATCACTTGGGAACTACAGTGATATCAGAGAGAAAGAAACTTCCCACTTTCTGCTGTCCGGAGACCACTGCCTTCCCCCTTGCCTGGCTCCACAGCATGGGCTCCTCCAGCTTAGGGCTCATCTCCGTGGCCATCTGGAGCCCCACCATGTGCAGGGCTGAGCCCCACACTCCACGTCCATCACAATAACCCACTCTGCCCAGGTCCTCCGTGGCCATCTGGAGTCCCCCCATGTGCAGGGCTGAGCCCCACACCGCACGTCCCTCACAATAACCCACTCTGCCCAGGTCCTCTGCTTCGGCCCCTCTCCTTCCTTCTCGGCAGGGAATCTCCAAGGTCCCCCAAAGCCAGCTTTTTCAGATTCATCACACACCTCTCAACAACCCCAAGATCTTAGACCCCTCTCCTGATGACTCCAGGACTGGCACCTCAAGCTCCTGAGTGCTCTGGACTTCCTGACTAAAGTCTGGGCTCTGCCTTCAGTGAGTGGCTCTACCTCACCCTACCTCAGTTTTCCCATATGTAAATTGAGGACAATAATGCACCTCCTTCAGAAAGTCATCAGGTGGCTCAGGAAAACACAGAGAATATCCACATCATCTCCACAGTCCTGGGCATGGTGAGGCCATCACCTGGCTAATGGAACAGGTTGAGGCTCACCTCTGAGGAGAGAGAAGTTGAAGGATTGGCAGGGGACAGATCTGTATGAGTCTGCTCTGCCCAAGGCTTGACACCCTGGTTAATTTAGAATGTGACTGTCACTTTTCCCAAGGTCTTCAGTATCCTGGCCAGAGGTAACCTTAGGGAATGGTAGGCAGATCTGTCTCCAAGAGATCCAGTGATCCCTGCCCAAGCAGCAGGCCCATTAAGGCCACTCTGTCACAGCACCCACCCTAGGGAAGTCTTCCTGGGCCAGGTAACTCATTCCTCATACCCTGTGAGCAGAATTGGTTCTAAGGGGCAGTGTTTGAGAAGAGGTATGAAGACCAGCTCCATGGGCCTGGCCTTGGTTTCATCAAAGTGAGTCTTCCTCATCCACCTCCTGGGGTTGTTGAGGAGTGAAAGACATGGGGATGAGCACTGCCAGGGCCAGGTGGTTGTCCACCTGGGTTTTGGCCACAAGAGTCTCCACATACAAGAAAAATACATAGGGCTTGTAGGGCATTTTCATGGACCATGAACTCCGAGTGACCTGCAAGTAATTTCTCAGGTCTTGAGGTTGGAAGGAGCCTGACTCTGGGTGCAGTGGCCTGTAGACTATTGGCTGCCACAAGGGCTGGGGTCTTGCAGGACTCATCCAGGCCATATATAGCAGGAACCACTAAAATGAGAGCCTGGGAAAAGCAGAATCTCTCTAGGAAGCTGGGTTATAGTCAGTGTCTTCTGCATCACCAGACAGACTCCCATTCAGTTTTGTTTTGGAAAGGGCCTGGGAATAATGTCAATGAATTAACACCCTCTTAAACATGTAAGCATTTTGGGAAAGGCTGAGGGCCCACAGCCTTTCATATCTTTGTGCATTTCATAAACTTTGACACCCACCTAGTGCCCTTTTACCTCCTGACTTCTTACCCAGATGTCAATAGGGGAGTGAGGAGACTGAGCAAGGTTCTGGCACTGGTTGGGGCAGTGGGAGGGGCCTTGTGCTCTGGAGAAAGAAAGGGGTAGAGGTGCTGGGGTGTGTGCACAGAGATCTGTGCCCAAACTCAGCCACAGCGAAACACAGGACAGAGCCTCTCTCCCTTTCTTGTTCTCCTACTCCTGGTTCCTGAATTGGAGGAACAGCCCAGCCACAAGGTGTGTTAAATAGACTCTTGTAGGCTTGTCCCTGTAAGACATTACCTGGGGTGAGTTCCAAACAATCCATGCTCAAATGGGTATGACAGACACCAACTCATCTGACGGTTGGAGATGACTGCTCCCAACTGCATTGCTGGTCGGGTACACCTGTTAATGGGTCCCAATGAAGTCCCCCTGCCTTTATTTACATTCCTGTGTACTGCCCTAGACTTTGAATTTGGTCTTGGGCAAGTGACTTGGGATGACCAGTGGGGGTTACCTGTCCAGAGGCTTGCTAAGCAGCTGCATACCACAGCTTGCCTTCTCAGAGCATGTCACCATAAAGAGATCCTGGGTCTCCTGTTGGAGAGGCCACAGGAGAGGAACTGAGGAACCCGGCTGACACCATCAAATTGCTAGACATGCTAGTGAAGCCATACCCAGCTCCAGCTGAATTGTCAAATGGCTACAGCCACATGAATGACCACATAAGCCCAGCAGAAGAACCACCCAGCTGATTCCAGTCCATATTGTAGAATCATGAACAGGTAAGTGTTGCTTTAATCTACTAATTTTGAAGGTGATTTGCTATTCTGCAATATGAAACATCAGACATGTTTTGTGGACTGTGTGTTGATTCTCAGTGTTTTATTCCAGTCCACAGGGATAACCAAGTAACATGGAGAAATGTGATGTGCATATTGTTACAAGCGTGTAATGTATGTGCCCTTCACATACAAGCACTTGAGCAGTTTTAGACAGTTTGTGACCAGAAAATACCATAGAAGGAAAGCTCTTCACATTGACTGGCTTCAGGGTGTTTAGGCATATGCACTATTCATGTCAGTAAACACTTGGACACAGAGGAGGGCACAGAAAGACATAAAAAGCACTCCATCCAAACCATTGGCTGTTTGGCACAAGGCTGCCCATGTTCAGCTTCTGCATGAGGCTAGAGGGTCTCACTCTACTCTGCCACGGAAGGCTGCACTTCTTGGTCTGAGAAAGAAACTAAAGCATTTGTTGATGAACATTTTGTCTTTCATTCCTCTTTGTCACACTATATGGCTTTAGATGTCTCAGCATTTTGGGCTTAAGGGTCCAATGTGGCAGACTTCCACTCATAAAAAACATCACCAACCAACAGATCTTGGATTCTGCTGAAAGACAAGCACAAATGGTTTTCCTCTTTCTCCTCCACAATGCACAGGTCAGCAATTTCCACCAAGTGGAAAGAGGGCATTGGAAGAGTCCTCCAGCTGGGGTCTGTACTGGGCAAATCCTTCTGTCTTCTGTGCATTAATTCTGTGGCTTCCTTATTCATTTATTCGCTCATTCACACACAGAACAAATACTCACTATGCATCTCCTACGTGTCTGCCTTTGGTGATACTCTTGAGTGGGTGAGGTGGGCCCAGCCAACGGGTCTTGCCTGTCTCCATGCCATACTTGATGGCATCCGGGGTCCATTTTAGCTCCTAAACAGAGTTCCCGGTTCTGCCATGTTAGGAAGGAAGTGGGGCTGAAAGCCGATTCTGAGTCCTTTACATAAGGTGGCTGGCGGTGGTGCTCAGAACTTCACCAACCTCTTTTCTTTCAAGCTTCTGTGAGACTGAGGCCCCATGCACCATTTCCAAGGGCATACTATTTTCTGGATCCTCCAAGCAACAACATCCCTCTGCCTTTTTCTCAGATTGGATACTGGCCCTCCTGCACATTGGTAATACAGATCACTCACTTATCTGGTATACAGGGTACTGGCTGAAGATGAGCCCCAAAGGACCACTCACCCCTTCTCCTGCATCCATCAGCGTCTCACTGTGGTGTAAGAATCAACGTGTCCAGTGACCTCTGCCCTGGGCATCTGGGTGATCTTCATTGTGAATAGGAGGCCTCATGCACCCATAACTGGTGTGGAGCCTCAGTATGAGTTTGAACATGTGGCTGCCAAATGACATGTTTCCGGGACCCCTTCCAGGTGGACATGAGAACGTGTGGATGGTGTTATGCCCCTTATGTCACTTTCCTATGATCTCATTATTTTTAAAGAAAAGATCATTCTGATTATTTCTCCTTGAGTATAAAGTGCACTGAGTTAAAAGAAGTTGAAAAGCATATATTTGGGATCTAGTGATTACACTTTCACATAAATCTAACTATACACTTAGAAGAAGGTTAAATATTTACCCAGAAACCTGAAAGCTTAAGATACTTCAATTCTGAAGGAAACTGGCAGCAGTTAAGGCCTCAAAGCACCTCCACAGACATGGGTGTGAAACATGACACCCTTCCTAAGTCAGAATCTGGATCAAAGTGTCCTTCCTTTTGGGTCTGTAACTGAGTGCCATGCTGCTGTGCACTTTGTTTTGGTAACACTGCCATTAGAAAAATGGAAAACACTGAGACCATAATTACCCAAAGGAGAGGAAAAGGGATGGTTCAAAGACTCTAACATTGATACTTGCTGATAAAAGATGAAATTTTGGGAAGCTTTATGAGGCTAGTGAGGCATAGCAGGTTAAGCCACTGCCTGTGAGTCTGGCATCCTGTGAGGGCATTGTTTGAGTCTCAACTCCTCCACTTTTGATCCAGCTCCCTGCTAATGCACCTGGGAAATCAGTGGAAGATGGCCCAAGTACTTGGGTCCCTGTACCCGCATGGGAGATCTGGATGGTCCTGGCTTCGGCCTGGCCCAGCCACAATCAGTTGTTGTGGCCATTTGGGGAGTGAACCAGCGGATCGAAGATTTCTCTGTCTCTCCCTCTCTTGCTCTGTTACTCTGTCTTTAAAACAAATAAATAAATCTTTTCTTTAAAAGAAATTTTGAAGAATTCAATTCGGAATCTATTTACTTTGGTTTCAGTTAAGTCTAACAGGTCTTTCGAACTTACAGTCTTGTAGTAGATGGAAAACAAAGCATTGGAGTGAGGCATGCATGGATCTCCAGGCTGGAAGGTAACAGTAAAGGGGGCAAAAACCCAGCAGTGTGCAACAGGCCTCAGAACATGGCTACCAGCATGGGGGGGCACTGTTAGGGGGATCCAGGAAAACAGCCCTGCATTCCTGCTTAGCTCTGAGGGCATCCCTACCATATGAAAACCTACTTCATCCAGAACTCTGTAGGTGGCAGGGGATTCTGTGATTTCCACCAAAAGCTGCATTTAGGGGAGACAGTCGGGGTTACCTGAAGACTTCACGTGTGTGGGGGAACTTGAGCCCTGATAGCACCTGGTCAATGAGAAGTGCTTACTCAGGAAGCTGCTAAGGCAGAAGAAGTGGTGATGCAAGATGAGGCGAGGCAGGGCAGGGTTGAAAGGGGTAGAAATGGATGCTGAATTCACATTCCTATGACAGATTAAAGCTCCGGGGGCCCAAAGCTGAGCTAAATTATACACAGGTGTCAAAATGGCTCAGTTAAGGCCCAGTAGGCAATAATGTGGGAGAGGGTAGCTGCTGAGTCTATCAGGTCATAACCAGACTCCTCCTAGGGGGAATCCCTGGCTTCAGGTGACCAGCAGTGACGGTGATCTGCTGCATTCCCTCCACGTGTCCCTGTTGAAGCCCCACAGCACTTACTTGAGCCCAGGTCTAGCTGGCCAGCTCCATTATCCTTTCCTACACTGGCAGGCTAGGCAGAGGCCCTGACATATCCAGATTTGTTGGCAGCTATGCACTTGGTTGGTGTGGTGGAACATTCCTCCCTGAGGGCTCCAGAACTCCACCTGCCAGCACCTACATGGAGTTGGATGCCCTGCATGGATATGAATGGCTGGGTAGGGCTGGGAGGGCAGGGTCAGACTGGTGGCCCCCATGGCCTATCTTCGGTCCATCATACAGGCTCTGTTGGGCACTGTGACAGCCACCACCTGTGTTGGGAGAGCCACTGTTGGAGTCAGGGGAGGGGAAGGGAATTGGCTGAGGGGCTTGGGCAGTGGAGTCTCTCAGGCAGCCAGGTGGGAGCTGGACATTTGTAACCCCTTTACTCACCTGCCCACAGAGCTCCTGGGTCAGCTCTACCTGCACCCACTGCTGCTGCTTGGTGGCAGGGCCAGGTCTTGGACTATAAAATCCCTGTGTAGCTGAGGGTCCATGTGGTTGTGCCTGAGAAGGACAGGCAGGGGCCCTGGGAAGCTGCCTCATCCCCAGGGAATGGGGTGGGTACTCCTGACTTCCTGTTGTCTCCTCTGCTGCTGTGTGCACAGATAGGGGCTGATTCCTATACCCACTGGGAGGAGAGCCACTATCTAGCTCAGCCCTTGGAAGGCACGGGCTGACCACCCTCAGGTGGCTGAAAGGATCAGGTTGGTTCTGTCCTGCTGCCATTTCCATAGGGACCATATCTGGAGGGACTTGGATAGGGCAATCCCAAATGCTGTCCAAGGAGTGGCTGCCACATGATCTGATACAGGTGAGGTCTGAAGTGCTCAAGGGTTCCTGACATTGACCAGTGTGGGGTGCAATCCAGGGAATAGGTTCTTTGCAAAAATCCAGAACACCAGGATCTGTCTGAGCCAGGTGACCAGGGACATTTTCTCCTAAAGAGAGTGAAGGTATGCAGCTTGGCTGAAGTACCTGGGCCATCTGTCTGGAGCTAGAGGTCTCAGGCAGTGAGTTGTCACATATTGTTGATTTCTGGCATATCCTGATGGTTACAGGTGCTGCCTGGCTATGCCAAGGCCCCCACTGTGGAGGGCTCTGGAGGGGCCTCTGGACTGTGGGGCCAGGGTGAGTGGGACCAGTGGTGACAGAATGATGGGGAAGTGCTTGAACAGAATTGGGCACTGTGGCCAGATTCTGTGGTGGAGTCACTTCTGTGGCTAGCTGGCCTGAACTCTGAGAAAATGGGGGCTTCAGGGTCTGTGAAGATATGCTGGTGGGTGGTGGCGGGCTCACGTTCCCAAGGTCATGAAAAAGGGCTTCCTTCTCCTTGAGGCAGCCCCACCCCAGACTGGTCCCTGCAGGGTCCAAGTCAGCTCTGAGAAGGTTTTCTTCCCACAAATGCTGGTTGAAGTCGGTGACCCCCAGGTGCTGGAGGGTGGAGCAGAGGTCAGGCTGTTCTTCCCTGTCCTTCCCAAGCAGGGTATCGATGAGGGTCAGGAGGGAGCTGCCCTCTTCCTCCTCTTTGGCTTCCTTGTCCTCATGTCTGCCATCAGACCCCTGCCTCTCCAAGGATGAGCTCTGAGGAGCTTGGTTAATGCAGGACAAGTGCATGGATTCGTCTTGCTCCATCGTGGCTCCAAGGAGAGAGCCTGGACACACCTGGACAGTTGGCGAACCCTTCCTTGCCTTAGTCTTCCTCCTGGCTGGGAGGGTGGTCAGGGCATTCGGGAGACTGCTCTCATACAGGATGGCCTCACCTGTGATGAAGGTGAATGGCAATCGCAGGGTCCGCGTGTGCAGGTGCTCCTCTCCCTCTGAGTTCCTGTGGTTAAGGAAACACAAGACCATATCTGTGAATGGCTACCCAAGTGGAAAGGGGGTCTTCTGTTTATCCAGGGGCTGAACAAGTGAACAGGAGCAGCACACCACTTGTTCTGGCTTTTCTAGCCAAGAAAGAAAAATAAAATCCTGTTATTGAACTTGCTTTTCTCTTGCCTTTTTTGGAGTACAAATTCTTGCTCAATACTTTTTAATTTGGGGTTCTGAAATAGTCTCAGATAAAATTGCTTATTCGTGGGAAAAACAGTCCAAAAATCCATGTAGAAATTCCCTAAACATCTTTTACTTTACAAAGAATAAGTCATTAGAAATGATATAAGCAATCAACCATTTGTTACTGGGGGAATAATTTCTCCATCCTTCTCCCCTTTACAATATACCCACAGGACACGGCCATTATCAAGCTGTCCTGACAGTCACTGACACCATGTCCAGCAAGGAAAGAAGCTTCCTTTACTGTCCTAACCTCACTTGGGCTTAGAGCTCCACAAAGGAAAAAAGACTGAAGTAAAATAAGGTGTTAGGCAGAAGCTGATTAGGACGGTGTGGGCATGGGAAACCCTATCCCTGGAGAGACTCTAACTGTAACCCTAACCCTAACCCTCACCCTCCACCCAACCCCAACCCTCACCCTAACCTTGACCCTAATCTTCACCTTCCACCCAACTCCAACCCTTACCCTAACCCTAGCATTAACTCCAACCACAACCCCAACCCTCATTCTAACCGTAATATCGACTCCAACCCCAACCACAATCCTAACCCCAATCCTCACCCTCACCCCAACCCAACCCTCACCCTCACCCTAACTCCATTGCCAACCTTCACCCTAACCCTAACCCTCACCCCAAATCCAGCCCTCACCCTAACATTAACCCCACCATAACCCCAACCCTCTCCCTTACCCCAAACCAACAATGCTCATCCTAACCCCTACTCCAACCCTCACCCCAACCTCAACTCCAACCCCAACCCTCACCTTAATTCCAACTCCAACTCCAACCCTAATGCCAACCTTAACCCTCAGCCTTACCAGATTATCTCTGGTCATCCGTTGTCTTTAAGTCTACGTGTCTTCTATTAACGCAGCCACTCTGCCCTTACTGTGCTTACTGTTTGATTACATATCTATTTCACATCTAATTACTTTCAAACTATTGTGTCATTTAAAAATGTGTTTCTTATAGAAGGTATTTGTTTGAATCATTTTTAACATTTTTTAAAATTTATTTTTAAACGAATACAAATTTCAAAAGTACAACTTTAGGAATATAGTTATTTTTCCCACCATATCTGCCCTCTCATCCACACTCTCACCCCTCCTCCTCCTCCCTCTACCCCTGCCAGTCCCATTTTCCATTAAGATTCATTTTTAATTAACTTTGTAAGCAGAAGACCAACTCTATAATAAGTAAAGATTTCAACAATTTGTGTGCATGCACACACACACACACCCCAAAAAAACTGAGAACTAGTTTTACAGTTACCTCTCATAAAACAACTCATTGAGGACAGAGGTCCTGCATGGGGAGTTAGTGCACAGTGGCTCCTGTTGCTAATTGAATAATTAACACTCTTACGTATGACGTCAGTGACCACCTGAGGCTCTTGACATGAGCTGCCTAGGCTATGGAAGCCTTTTGAGTCCATGAACTCCTTCAGTATTTGGACAAGGCCATAAGCAAAGTAGAAGTCCTCTCCTCCCTTTAGAACAAAGTACATCCTTCTTTGATGGCCCCTTCTTTCCACTGGGGTCTCACAGAGATCCTTCATGTAGAGCATTTTTTGCCACATTGTCTTGGCTTTCCATACCTAAAATGCTCTCACTGGATTTTCAGCCAGACCAGGAAGCCTTAAGGGCTGATTCTGAGGTCAGAGTGTTACTTAAAATGATTGTCAATCTATGAGTCTGCTGTGTGGACTGCTCCCTATGTTGGAACATTCTCTCCTTTATAATACTATTATTATTACCATGCACTTGATCCTATTTATATAATCACTTTAACACTTATTACTATCTATATATTCACTTTAACACATAATATGATCACTTTAACAATTAAGATGGCATTTTTACCGCCACGCTTAATGAGATTTAGAGTCCTATGACAAGCTTTTAAACTGTACCCTTAGAAGTAATCTGTAGGAAAGTATGCAGAACTATACAACTTTACAGTTACAAACTTCCTCCACCCTCTTTTATTCCCACTCTTATTTTTTACTAAGATGTATTTTTTCTGTTTTTTTTTTCAGATTTATTTTTTATTTGAAATTCAGAGTTACACAGAAAGAGAAGGAGAGGCAGAAAGAGAGGTCTTCCATCCACTGGTTCACTCCCCAATTGGTCGCAATGGTCAGAGCTGCACTGATCTGAAGTTAGGAGCCAGGAGCTTCTTCCAGGTCTCCCACACAGGTGCAGGGGCCCAAAGACTTGGGCCATCCTCCACTGCTTTCTTAGGCCACAGCAGAGAGCTGGATCAGAAGTGGAGCAGCTGGGACTAGAACTGGCACCCATATGGGATGCCAGCACTGCAGGCGGCAGCTTTACCTGCTATGCCACGGCACCGACCCCTGAGATCTATTTTCAATTGACACTGAGTTCAACAAATAGTATAAAGAAAAACAAAACAAAACAAAACAAAAAACAAAACAACAAAAACTGTTCCTTGACAGTTAAGACAAGGGCAGCTCAAATCATCCCTTTTCAAAGTGTCAATTTTACTCACACAGCTTTCATTTTAGTTGCTCTAATAGTTCTCACAGATCAGGGAGAACATATGATATTTGTCCCTTTCGGCCACGCTTATTTCCCTAAGTATGGTGTTTCCAGTTTCATCCATTTTTGTTGCAAGTGATTGGATTTCCTTTTTTTTTTTTTACAGCTGCATAGTATTCCATAGTGTACATTTCCCATAATTTCTTTATTCAGTCTTCAGTTAATGGGCATTTAGGTTGATTCCATGTCTCAGCTATTGTGAATTGAGCTGCAATAAACATGGAGGTACAGTTAATCCTTTTGTTTACTGATACCATTTCCCTTGGTTAAATTCCTAGGAATGGGATAGCTGGGTCAAAAGGTGGGTCTATATTCAGATTTTTGAGACATCTCCATACTTTCTTTCCATAGTGGTTTTTCCAGTTTACATTCCCACCAACAGTGGATTAAGGTACCTTTTTCCCCACATCCTCTCCAGCATTTGTTGTTTGTTGATTCCTGTATGAAAGCCATTCTAAATGGGATGAGGTAAAACTTAATAGTGGCTTTGATTTGCTGTTCCCTGACAGCTAGTCATCCTGAACATTTTTTCATGTGTCTGTTGACCATTTGGATTTCCTCTTTTGAAAAATGTCTGGGGGCCGGTGCCATGGCTCAATTGGCTAATTCTCTGCCTGTGGCGCCAGCACCCTGGGTTCTAGTCCCAGTTGGGGCGTCGGGTACTAGTCCCGGTTGCTCCTCTTCCAGTTCAGCTCTCTGCTGTGGCCCGGGAGGGCAGTGGAGGATGACCCAAGTGCTTGGGTCCCTGCAACTGCATGGGAGACTGGGAGGAAGCACCCAGCTCCTGGTTCGGATCAGCAGAGTGCCGGCCATAGCGGCCATTAGGGGAGTGAACCAACGGAAGGAAGACCTTTCTGTCTCTCTCTGTCTATAACTCTCTCTGTCTCTCTATAACTCTGCATGTCAAAAAAAAAAAAAAAATGTCTGGGTGCCGGTGCCGTGGCTCACTTGGTTAATCCTCTGCCTGCGGCACCGGCATCCCATATGGGTGCTGGGTTCTAGTCCCAGTTGCTCCTCTCCCAGTCCAGCTCTCTGCTGTGGCCCAAGAGGGCAGTGGAGGATGGCCCAAGTGCTTGGGCCCCTGCACCTGCATGGAAGACCAGGAGGAAGCACCTGGCTCCTGCCTTTGGATCGGCATAGCTCCGGCCATAGCGGCCATTTGGGGGGTGAACCAAAGGAGGGAAGCCCTTTCTCTCTGTCTCTCACTCTCACTAACTCTATCTGTCAAATAAAAAAAAAAATTTAAAAAAAGAAAAATGTCTGTTTAAGTCCTTGGTCCCTCTCTTAACTGGGTTGTTTGTTTTGTTGTTGTGGAGTTTTTTGATCTCTGTATATTCTGATTATTAACCCTGTATCAACTGCATAGTTTGCAAATAATTTCTCCCATTCTGTTGGTTGGCTCTTCAATTTCATTGAGTGCTTCTTTTGCTATACAGATACTTCTCAATTTGATATAATCCCATTTGTTAATTTTGGCTTTGGCTGCCTGTGCCTCTGGGGTCTTTTCCAAAAAGTCTTTGCCTGTGCCAATATCTTCCAGGGTTTCTACGATGTCCTCTAATAATTTGATGGTGTCAGTTCATAGATTTAGATCTTTAATCCATTTTGAGTAGATTTTTGTGTAAGGTGTAAGGTATGGTTCTTGCTTTATAGTCTTGCATGTGGATATCCAGTTATCCCAACACTATTTGTTGAAGAGACTGTCCTTGCTCCAGAGATTGGTTTTAGCTCCTTGGTCAAATGCAAGTTGGTTGTAGATGTTTGGATTGATTCCTTGTGTTTCTATTCCATTGGTCTATCAATCTATTTTTGTATCAGTACCAGGCTGTTTTGATTATAACTGCCTGGTAGTATGTCTTGAAATCTGATATTGTGATGCCTCTGGCTTTGTTTTTGTTGTATAAGATGGCTTTAGCTATTCAAGGTCTCCTGTGTTAGCATATGAATTTTAGAATCATTTTTTCTATATTTGAGAAGGATGTCTTCGGTATTTTGACTGTATCTCATTGAATCTGTAAATTGCTTTCAGAAGAATGGACATTTTGATGATACTATTTCTACCAATCCATGAACATGGAAGATTTTTCCATTTTTTTGTATCTTGTTCTATTTCTTTTTTTTAATGTTTTGTAATTCTCATAGTAGAGATCTTTGACATCCTAGGTTAAATTTATTCCAAGGTATTTGATTTTTTTTTGTAGCTATTG